TTTATGGGTCCTATGCCATCAGCACTGCTGTCTGACTGCAGCTGGGCTGGGCTAGAGCCCAGTTACAGGGCCCTTTCATAATCTACATTCGGAATGACTTTAGCAAGCTCACCTCAAGGGGCTCCCATACATCAACAGGTGGGAACAAGGTCTTTATATTTATAATCCAATACAGGTGGGCAGGGCTCCTCCCCAGATGTCTTGGCATATGGTGTTGATAACAACCCTAAAGCCATATGGGGCTCCAGCTAATTTGCAGGGATACATATTCTGCAGCCAGGAGGAGAGTGGGTGAGTCAGCCGCAAGGGCACAAGCCGTCCCCCTCAAAACACTACTCCTCAGTCTTGGATACGCCAGGGCTCCACAGCCTCCTGCCTGGATAACAAAGTACCCAGAAAGACAGTTTGAAGAACAACACTAAATTATTGTTATTGAGTTGAGGAAATTCATGCTGGTCTCATTCAACAATTTGGTGACACCTCTCTTCTATAAGATTATAACTTCATTTTTTTCCCCAAATATTTGGTCTTTTTACCCAACATCATTTATTGAAAAATTCACCTATATACCAATAACTTCCAAATTTTAATCTCCAGCTCACACTTCCTTTAAGCTCTGGGTGTAGAGATCTTTGAGTTCTAGATTTGCAAACCCAACTTGTAACTTGACACCATAATATGAATGAGTGGAGATAGTGAAGAAAAGTGATCTGGGTGATCTGGGTCCCAACCCTGGGCTATTCCAGAATTTAGAGGTTGCAGACAGGAGAAAGAAACCCACAAAGGCAATTAGGAGTGGCCACTGAGCAGGGGAAGTGGTGAATGCAAGGAGAAGATAGTGATTACACCACGGGTCCATTGCTGCTGAGAACTAGGGAGAAGACGACTGAGAACTGACCATGGGACTTAACATCACGGAGCTGCCTCGTGACCTGGACAGGAGTGGTTTCATTGGTATGGTGGGGACAATTCATGACAAGAGAGAATTAGAGAGAGAAGGAGATTAATCCAAATATTCTAAATAATGGTCGGTATGCACATGAAATAATGTTAAACATCATCACTCACTGAGGAAATACAACACAGCACCCCAGCGAGATGCGCCACTGCACAAGCACCAGGGTGGTTCTAATGAAAAAATGGACAAGAAAAAAGTAACAAAAGTTGGAAGGATGTGGAGAAATACACAATGCTGTAAAGTCGGTGCAGCTGGAGCTGTGTGGATAAAGTGATTCTCACCTGGCCCTGGTCAGCTAGCTCACTACACAGGTGTGGGCAATGCATTGTTATTGACTCTATAAAGAGCTCTGCCCGGTGCTCTGGGCGACACGGTGGCACGGCCGCAAGGCTGCAGGAGAGCCCAGATGAGACGGGACTGGTGGCAGCACCGAGGACAGAGACTGAGACGGCTGCGGGCAGAGGGTCCCAGAGGCAAACCGGCTTGCTGCCTGCAGACTCACTCTGAGTGGACGGGATTCTAGTGGCTGACTGGCCACTGCGGGAATAAAGTTGGGTATGACCCTTTCACCCCAAGGATGTTCTACTGTCATTTCTTTGGTCACATTGAGTCCATAGAGGACTTTCCCAGGGCTGAGGCCCATTGGCAAGACAAGCTGGAAAGCTGGACGCAAGGAGGGGAGGATACAAGACACGTTACGAAGGACAACCCAGTGGAGCATGGTGACCGATTCGGAGTCTGGGATGAGAGAGAAGGATTCAAAATGGGGGAGACGATGATCCTCGATGGGCCCAAGTCATGCCTCGCCACTTAAATTTGGGAGAGCTTGCACGGGATATTGAGCATCTCTGCATTTCATTTTTCCATCTGTGCAATGGTTGTACCTCACAGAAATCTAAGAACTGTACATGAGAAACCTATGTAAGGTTTGGGATCCTACCAATGATTAATAATTACATGAGAAACCTATGTAAAAGCTCATTAAGTAATACTATGGACACTAATGAAAAGAGGAAGCTAATTTGATGTAGGGGTGCTGATATTTACAACACCCCTTGCAGGAGAGTAACAACTGGGAGAAAGACCCCCAATGTCTCTGAATGTCCCATCTGCACCAGAGGGCAAAGTTCCTCCCTCTCCACCTCCCGCCCACCACGCCCCCACTGAAGGGAAAATGCTTCTTTCCACCACAGCTGCTCCCACCATCACTGGATGAGCTTCCTGCAAGCTGGGATGCCTCAGTCAGAAGACCCGGCTCCTGGGGCGAGGAATCAACAGAGGCTGTGCCCGTCTGAACACTCCAGAGTTCCGGGGTCCTCAGCGACAATGCGTGAAGGGGTAAAACATGATCATGGGAGCCTCCAGCGTTGGATCTAAGGCTTTGCTCTGCCACCAGCTAGCCTGGGAAGCCAGTTACCCGTCCTGCAAACTGGGGATAATAATGCCGACCCCAGAGTGCACTTGTAAGAATTAGAACAAAGAATATTTCTGAAGTGCCAAGAACAAAATTTGGTCCAATACAGGCCCTTCAAGCAAAGTTTCCCGTCTTGCTGGTTTCTTTGTTTTCTTAGGGGAAGAGCACTGGGTGGTCCCTTCTTACACTGCTCCGGGGGTTAAGGGCTTGGTGCCCAGCGTGACCAGTCACCTGGGAGCCAGAGATGGCATCCTTCCCTCCCTCAGCTATATGCTCAGCCTGAGGGGGAAGAGGGCACCCATCCGATCAGCCAGCAGGATCCTAGCAATGATTGACAATGCTAAAGCCTCATAGGGACTCTGTTCAGATATTTTGCTATCTGAGCTCAGGGAGGAAGCAGCTGAACTGAGGGGAAACAACACTCCGGAAGCCAGGCGGGCAGGCAGACCGTGATAGCTCCCAGGACGAGAGGGAGGGCATCTCTTACCCAGGAGCTGGGACCCAAGGCAGGAGGCAGAGGCTTTGAGGCGGGAGGACCCCGGGAGGGCAGACACTCCCGCACACCGCAGTGCAGGCCGCCTCAGGTCCTCAGGCAACGTGAGGCTGCAGGAGGGGCGGGAAGAGCCCACCCGGGACCTCCAGGCCAGGCAGGGTCACGGAGGTCATCCCATCCACCCCCGCCGACATGAGGGCTCACGAGACTCTCAGCAGCCTCTGTGCGCTGGGGCTCCGTCTGCCGAGGCCCCCGGGGAGTGGGAGGGGGGGCAGCCCAGCCACTGGGCGCTGGTCTCCTTGACCATGGCTGTCATCAGCCCCCTGGGGAGCCCCGGGTGAGTCCAGCAGGGAGATGGGTGGCCAGTCCAGGCCAGACTGTGGCCTCAGTTATGTCCCAGATGCTTGACCCACTCCAATGTGGGAGAGACCAGTTCCAAACCCTTGGGAACTAGACAGCATCCCTGGAATGCAGCGCTTGGAAGAGGATTTGGGCAGGATGGTAGGATTCCAACAGAAAAGGGTGGGAGCAGAGTATACGGAGAGGGAACCTTCACTCCAGGCGGAGGGATGCGAGCGAGCAAAGAGGAGGCTGACTGAGGGTCTGAAGCCAGCAGGGCTATGGGGGCCAAGGGTCAGCAGAAGGGCTGGTGAGGGCTGGCTCACCCTCTCCCCAGGCTCACCCTCACCCCCACAGCAGAGGCAGGAGGAAACCCCACATCCATCCCCACCACCAGTGTCCATCCCAATAGGGGAACATCTGAGGCTCTTTTCCTACAGCTACTACAGACTCTGAGCTCCTGGGCTCATTCTCTGAGAAGGCTCAGCAGACCCTGAGAGCAGACACATCCCCCGCGCACTCCGCAGGAAGGCGGGCTGCGGCTGAGGCCCAGAAGGAAGGCCGTGGCCTGTGTACAGTGTGCACTGGACACTCCTCCCAATGCACACACTGCCCCCCACCCCGGGAGCTGTGCACAAGGGGCAGAGCGACCCCAGGCCAGTCCCTCTGGGGGCCCCACCCTCCCCCACCCTCCCATGCTGCCTCCACGGACCCCCAACTCTGCATCCTGAAGCCAGGTCCCACCTCCCTCCTCTGTGGACAGTCAACATCTCTACAGTGCCCGTGCCTGGGCTCATGTTCTCAGAAAGACACGCAGCAGAGGCTGTGGGGGCCATGTGCAGTCAGGAGGGTCCGCATAGGGAGCTGCAGGAAGACAGGGGCCAGGAGCCGAGTCTACAACAGGAAGAGCCCTCATCCTGCAGGGCTGAGGACGCTGAGGGGAGGGCAGCTTGGGGAGGGTCAGAGGAAATGGCCAGGCCACATGCACGTAGGGATCTGAGGGCTCCAGGGTCACAGCACACAGACCAGGGGCAGCTGGAGCTGGACCAGAGCTGGGAGAGGCCGCGTCTGCAGGGATCAGCTCAGGGTGGAGGTGTACCGGGAGGACTGGATTCTCCTGCATCCTCCCCTTAACTCATCTTCATGGCCTGGCCTGGCTTATGGACCACACTGTAGATAGGAGTGAGAGGACCATTTTCTTCCAGTTGTTGTTCACCAATAGCCTGGGAGTGCGAGTGTTCCCAGAACAGCTGCATGGTGCAGGGGCTGCACAGGGGCCCACCTGGAGCCTGGGCTGCTGACCGCACTGCATTCATTCCCCCGGAGCACCCAGCACTCCACCAGCCCCAGATGTGAATCGTCATGGTTCTACTGTGTTGTCCAGAAACAGTTCAGTGCAGTGGGGACAGAAACAGCAGGTGGCTGGCTTTGACAAGCCCAGGCCCACTCAGTGAGAGGCGGGGAAGCCCCAGCGGGGCACCACTCCAGCTCTCACCTTCTCCCTGCCCTCTTGAGACTGCTGCTGGCTCAGCGCTGCCCAATGGATGCCACCACCATGGTCCATGTGGTCCTCCTGCAGTCCTGCACCTGCATCACACACGGAGTGGAAGGTAACCTGGGCCTTGGAGATCTGTGATCTCCCCCATGGCACTGAACCCCAAGACCATGGCCAAGCCTGCCCTCCCCACTGCAGGGACAGTCCCTGAGCAGCAAAATGCAGGAGAAGGGGAGGTGGGAGCCTAGTGGGGTGGAGGAGGCATCTGGCTGCACCGAAAAATCCCACTTGCCTGTTGCAGGCTCCATCTTCTACTTCTTAACCCACATGCGGCAAAGGTACAGTCCAACTCCGAGGACCAGCAGGACAATCACGGCGGCCCCCAGGAGGCCTCGCAGCGGGGTGTCAATGGTCTTTCCACTTGAATCTGCTTCCCTCACAAAGAGAGAAGAAAGCTCACACAGGAGAATTCACATACCCGCTGCCAAGGGGAGAGAGAGAGCAGAGAGGTCTAAAGGGTCCTCCTGTGTCTTCACCAGCCCTGGGAGCAGCTGCACGCACAGTGGCCAGCAGGAGAGGACAGGCAGGCAGGAGAGGACAGGCAGGCAGGAGCTGGGTGACAAAGGTCAGAGGGGGTCAGAGTCTGTTTCCAGAGGGGCTTGTGGGTCAGGCTCAGTTTTAAATGTTATGTGAGACTCGGGATGCGGCTGAGGGGAGGGGGACAGCGGCTTCATGGGATGCTCACATCAGATCCCCCAGCAGCTGGAGGACCGTGGGTCAGAGGAGGGGAGCTGCACGCAGGAACCAGGTCATTCATTCATTCAGTGAACATGGTGAGCAAACACTGCCAGCAGCTGTGCTTGGACACGGACTCAAAGGAGAACAAGACATGGCCATTGTGTTCTAGGTGATGTAGGGGACACATCCGTAAACAGAGCATTGCTACTCAGCGAGCCAGGACCCCGGGCAGCTCCTGAACGGAGCTGATACCTGAGGGAAAGGTGGCGAGAGCACCTGCAGGGCTCTGTGCCAAGTGAGGATGCGAAGACCCCTGTTCAAAAAGTAGTGAACTTCACGATGACAATTATAGGGCCTCCTAAGCACAGGGCCCCAGGTGTCAGTGTGGGCCACACGGCCATGAGGTCAACACTTCCTGATAAGGACCTTACAGGAGGAATAAGGTGGGAAGTGGAGGCCAAGGGCAGAAAGGGCAAGAAAGGAAGGTAGAGGAAACAGCGTGTCCTGAGGCTCAACACTTTCAGGGGCAGGTCACCTCCAGGAGCTCCAAGCAAGCAGCCCGGTGCGCAGTGTGGAGGTGAGGCCAGAGACACGGGCAGAGCACCTGAGCCCTGAATGCACCAGGGAGTCCCTGGAGGCCAAATCCAGCAGACAGCACAGGACAATGACACGATCCGACTTACTCTCTGAAAGTCCAGTGATGATGGATGGGGGTACAGAGAGAGACGGAAGGTCCTATCAAGGCCAGGGTCAGGGAGGGGAGGTAGACATGGGTGTGACAGGCATTTAGAAGCAGCAGCCATGTGGATGCGCCCCCCAGACCCTGTGTGGGGTGACCAGGTGGAAGGGGAGGCTATCACGCATGGCAGGGAGAAGAGCCCAGAGCCTCACCCCAGGGCTACCTGTGCTCCGAGAGTGCCCTCCCTGCTGGCAGGCGGCACTCACCAGGGACACAGATGGCCCCAAGGTCTCTGGTGGCAGTTTTCTGGTCAAGCGGGTTGCTGAGCACACAGGTGAGCCTGGGGTTGGGCTGGCTCAGTGGCAGGCTCAGATCCAGGGTCCACGAGTTGGGGGCTGGTCCCGGGATCCCTCTCTGCTCCAGCTCCTCGGGGAGGCCTTTGCTCTCCCAGGTCACCTTCAGGTCCTCCATGGCCCCCTGGGCCCTGCACTCCAAGGTGATGTTGCACCAGCCTGGTGTGATGGATGAGGAAGTGACCCAGATCTGGGGAAGGGGCACGGGTGCTGGGCGGGAAGGACAAAGGAACGGAGGCTCACGTGAGTGGCAGACATGACAGTTCACACTTTCCTGTCCAGGATCTCCCTGGGCTCTGACCCCTACCCTCTAAGGATGGCGAGTACATTTTAGATAAAACCCAGTTTGCCCCAGAGCCAAATATACAACAGGGACAAGGAAGGTGCCCACTGAGTTAAGGCCTATGATTTCCCTAGTTTGAGCAAGACTTTAAAACTCTCCCACAAGAAAATAAATGCTGGGCCTCACCTTCCAGGACTAATTGTTACAAAGAAACTGGGTCTTTCCTGCAAGGGAGACGTCTGGCTCTGAAGGCCCTGTGCTGGGGCAGGGCCCTGCCTGTCCTCCTGGGATGATGCCCGTGGCTGCACAGCCCCCAGGCAGGGGGCATCAGCAGCTCTGAGAACCCAGAAGGGCCCTGGTGCCCAGCTGCTGTGGGAGGCATGGTGGCAGCGACCAGGAAGGACAGCCCCAAGTGCATGAGCACATGCCGCTGGGTGAGCCTCACACACAAGTGACAGACGGGCAAGTCGCTCTTAGACATCACTCGGGGACCTACAGCTGCAGCTGCCACTCCTCCAAACAGGAGGCCGCCCTGCGCAGAGAGGAACCTGAGGGACAAGGAGCCGCTCTCTGAGGCTGGGCAGGGCTGCAGGGTAACCTTTCCTGCGACTGAGGGGCTCAGAGCTGGGCTGGTGGGGTCCCAGGGAGTGAGGGGCTCAGAGCTGGGCTGGTGGGGTCCCCATGAGTGAGGCCGCCTCGGGCTGGTGCGGAGTCAGGGACAGGGAACGGAGGACCAGCTGCACGCGGGTCCCAGCTGGGGTGGGTGAACAGTGGCCCAGAGATGCCCACATCCTTGTCCTCAGAACCAATATCTTAGGTGACACACAAAGGGGAATTGAGGGCGCAGGCGGTGCTAAGGCTGCTGATCAGCCGACCTTAAAACAGAGACTCTCTGGATTATGAGGCTGGCACCCAGGGAACCACAAGGGTCCCTAACAGTGGGGACAGAGGGGAGGGGGGGAGGCTTGAAGACAGGGAGACAGCCCCCAGGTAAGGAGCACAGGCAGCCCCGAGAAGGTGGGCAGGACAGAAGCCGGTCCCTCCCCTGGAGCCTTAGCCCAGGGAGCCTGTCTGACCTCTGACCTACAGGAAGGAAGGATAAGAAGTGCTGTTTTATACCCCTAAGAACATGGTAATTTCTTATAAAAGCACTAAAAAATCATTAATCAAATTGAGTAAACTTAGTCCTATACACAAAATTAAATGTTATGGCAATAATTCCATTGCCCCCATTTTCCATTCTGCTCTCCCAAAGCACTGTGGTTTTCTCCCGTGTTGAATCTCATCTCTGCTCCCCATTGTGGTGACCCCACTCACCTTAACCTCAGGGGAGGGATAGAGTCTGAAGGCCTGTTCTGGAGGGAATCCCACAAAATGCGGCCTGAGTGACACTCCTGGGGACTAAAGCAGGACATCGCCCTGGGTGGGTTCAGGGGCTGTCACATACCACCGACAGTGAGGTGGAAATTCAGGTTAAATTCTCTTCCTCCAGTGAGGCTGCCCCGAGCCCGGTACTGCCCGCTGTCCTCGCACGTAAGGTTGTCAATCCTCAGGGACGTCATGTTGGGCACGTGGACCCTCTGCTCATACTTGTCCTGCAGGCTGACCCAGGTGGGGGGTTCTGTGCTAGAGCAGACTGTCAGGATGACTCTGTAGTCAGACTCAGGGCCGAAGCCCCATGAGATCTCCTTCAGCTCAGCTCCTGCCTCCCTGGCCGCGTGAAACAACACACAGCTTCCCTGGGTCCTGTTCAGAAACACGTGGGCTCCAGAGCTGTTGGCCACATTGCTGCAGGCACCTAGGGCATGAACAGGGGAAATGGGAGCTTTTTTTTTTTCAGAAAAAATTTGTTTTAAAAACCAGAGAACCCATCTTCTTCTGGTGAAATCCACCCAGCACATTTTCTTTCCATACCAAGTGCTTATCTTCAGGAGGCAGCTGCTAATGTGGCCCCAGAACCCCTCCCTCCCCAGGGCCACACCCTCCCCTGGGGAGTGGGCAGCACCTGGAGACTTGGCTCTAAGGAGCAGAACACAGCAAAGGCGAGGGGACGTCCCAGCCATACAGGTCATACAGGCCCGGGACTTCCGTCTTGTTCCCTTGCCCTCTCCTTTACTCTCTCTTGCTCACCCTGATGAAGCCAGCTGCCCGGGTGTCCGCTGCCCTAAGGAGAGGCCCAAGTGTCAGGCACTGTGGTCAGCCGCCTGCCCACAGCCAGGCGGGACCTGGGGCCCTCAGCCCAACAGCCACGGGCACCCCACCCCATAAGCCGTCCCACCAGGGGCTTGGAAGCAGACCCTTCCCACTGCCCCGGGAGCTGCCTGCTGCCCCAGACGAGACCCTGATTCAGGCTGAGAGACCCTGAGCCTGAGGCCCGGCTGAACTGCCCCAGAGTCCCGACCCACCGAGGCCGTGAGACTATGTGTGGTGTGGTTTGAAGGCACTAAGAACTAAGGCACCAGCAGTGTCCCCAGCAATAGGTAACTAACGCAGTGGTAAAGGGGGCCCTCCTTGCCTGGTGCCCGCAGGCTGGGCCGCTGTAATAACACTGCAGGGACTTAGAACAAGGGGGTGACCTCCCCTCCACATGGCCTATGATGGAGGGCAGGAGAGGTCCTGTCACCCATGGGGTTCCACCAACTTGGGGCCACACCACGTGGGCCCTCAGCCTCTTTACAGGCTCTCAGCCCCCACAGCAGGGAGGGAAGCAGGGGAATCCCACACGGGGGTCACCTCATCTATCCAGAGGTAGCTGATCTCTGCTCATGGCCAGAACTAGTCACAAGTCCCCAGCTCAACGCCAGAAACAGAGAATGCTGGGGAGCAACCAACCCTTTGTGAGCTCCACTGGGACCTCCACCCAGACAGCACTGTCCCCCTCCCAGGCCCTGAGAGGCCAGAAATGTCCTTCCTGGTCACTCTGCAGAACTGAGGCCATTGGGCTCTGCCCCTCAGGGACACCCCTCCAGAGCCCATCTCCTGATTCTGGTACAACATTGGAACTTGATACCCTTTGTCTCTCTAGGGACATGGTAGGACAGGACAGGACCAGGGATAGGGCCACAAAACAACTTTATCCTGAAAGAATAACAGCCTCTTTCCAGAAGGTCAGGGTCGGGTGGGCTTCCGTGGCTGCCAGGGCCGCAGGCCCCTCTCCACACCAGGAAGTCCTGCCCAGGCAGCCTGCCCCCCTCCTGCTGTGCGTATCCTGTTCCTGCCTTTCACCAAACACAGAGAACCAGCCACCCAGTGTGAGTGAGCAGAAGCGGGTTGCAATTTAAGCCACCCAGTCTGTGCCTTGTTTTTAGCAGCCTGAGCTAACTCACCACCACAGGTTTTAGAGGGATCAGAACATGATCTTGGCGACACCTAAATTTTGGACCTACAACCTATAGAAATAGGAGACAATAGATTTCTGTTGTTTAACGCCACCCAGTTTTGAAGCCTGTTATGACAGCCTTAGGGGCCCAGGATGAGTGGCTCCCACAGCCACATGTTGACCCACGGGAGCTCCCTGATGTTCAGGGCTGGGCTTGTGGCCAACAGATCAATGAGATGTAAGCTCTGCAGTGGAGAAGACCTGGGTTCAAGTTCCACATCCACCCTTTACTGGCTGAGTGATCTTGGCAGGTCCCTAAACTGTCTGAGCCTCAGCTACCACGTATGAACAACTGGGATGGACTGTGCGTGTTCATGACTCCTGGGAGGATTAAGTGAGATGGTATAGACAAAGCCCCAACACTGAGCATTTAGCTGTTATTATCAGGGCTAGGGACTCTTATGAGGGCCTACCTGCTATGGAATTGCCAGTCCGCTGGCTTTCACCTGGTGTTTGCACTGCCAGGGGGAGAGGTGTGCCCAGCCCCCGTGAACGCACACCCAGTCCCTACATTTCAGCTGCTCGGGCAGGTACCCAGAGTGCGATGATCCTCAGGGCAGCCCATCGATGCTGGCAGCTTACAGAGTATCATCCCCATTCAAAGGACGAAGAGATTTCATTTCAGCTATATTCACTGGCTTTTAATTTTTTTAATTTTTAAACAGATTATAAATTCATATGGTTTAAATTAAGAGATGGAAGTAGAGCGGTCGCTCCCCTACTGCCTCCCACTTTCCCGGCCCTTTCCCACAGGCAGCATCATTACTAGGCTCATATATCCAACCAGAGATAATCTGGGCACAGAACAAGCCCGCACATGCGTCTCCACGTACGGGCACACACCCCGCACGCACGGCCTGCTCCTTGCCTTTTCTCATAACCACACATGCAGAGCCCACTCTGGGTCTGCCCACCCAGAAGGGTCTCACTTAAATACGGTTTCATGTGGGGCTCTAGTTCTGGCCCGCTTCTCACAGAGAGTTAATTTGCTTCCTGCCACTACAAACAGTGCTGCTATGAACAGCCTTGGATCTGAGTGTTTGCAGACAGGGGTGTGTGTATATTAGAATGAACCACGGGGTACATCTACTGGATCAAAGGCATGTACGTCTGAGATTTGATGTTATTGCTGAATTGTCCTCCTGAGAGCATTCCTAGTTATTCTTCTACCACAAATATTTAGATTTCCCACCGAAAGGCAATGTATAATGATCAAACATTTTGCCCCTCACCAAATTGTTAGGGGAAAATTATATTATTTTTTAATGAGCATTTCTTGTATCGATGAAGTTCATCCTCATTGCATACTATTATTGTTGTGATGTCTTTTCTGTTAAGTGTGACCTACCTACTTATGTCCATAGCCCACACAGGGGTTTTTGCTATTTGTTTATAGGAGTTAGACATATTTTAAGAAAATTCGCTTGTTTCTTGTACAGTCTTCCAACACCAACCAAGGAAGAAACAGCAAATCTGAATAGACTAAATGCTAGTAACGAAATTGAATTGGTAATCAAAAAACTCCCCATGACCAAAACTACAGCACTACATGACTTCACAGGTGAATTCTACCAAACATTTAAAGAAGAGCTAATACCAATCCTTCTTGAAGTGTTACCAAAAATAGAAGAGGAAACAATACTTCCAAAGTCATTCTATGAGGCCAGTGTCAGTCTAAAACCAAAAGAAACAAAGAACACACAAAAAAGGAAAATTACAGATCAATACCCCTGGTGAACATAGGTACAAAACTCCTCAATAAAATATTAGCAAGTCAAATTCAAAAATACATCAAAAGGATCATCCATCATGACCAAGCGGGATTTATTCCAGTGATGCAAGGCTGTTACAATATTTATAAGTCAATTTGATACATCACATTAACAAAAGGAAGGATAAAAACCATATGATCATCTCAATAGGTGCTGAAAAAGCATTTGACAAAATTTAGCATCTATTCATGATTTAAAAAAAAAAGCTCTTAACAAAATGGGTGTAGAGGGAACATACCTAAACATAATAAAGGCCACATATGACAAACCCACAACTAACATCATACGCAACCAGGAAAGGCTGAAGGCTTTTCCTCTAAGACCAGGAACAGGACAAAGGTGTCCACTCTCATCACTTTTATTCAACATACTACTGGAAGTTCTAGCCATGGCAATAAGATAAGGAAAAGAAAGAAAAGGCATCCAAATTGGTAAAGAAGAAGTAAAACTGTAACTACTTGCAGATGACATTTTACCCTATATTGAAAACCCTAAAGAAACCACCAAAAAACTTTAAGAACTAATAAAAGAATTCAGTAAAGTCACAGAATACAAAATCAATATACGGAAATTCTGTTGCATTCCTGTATACTAACAATGAACTAGTAGAAACAGAGGTCAAGGAAACAATTCCATTTACAACTGCATCAAAAAAGAATTAAATACCTAGGAATAAGCCTAACCAAGTAGGTGAAAGACCTCTACTCTGAAAACTATAAGGCACTAATGAAAGAAACTGAAGAAGACGCAAATACATGGAAATCTATCCCATGCTCATGAAGAGGGTTCTCTTCCCAGGAACAGGATAGCTCCAGGGAGTCACAGCCCCGCGGGGGACGTCCCCCAAGAGGTGCAGGGAGTCGGGTGCCCTCCTGTTTCCCAGAGCCCTGACTGAGAGGAAGCTCAGTGCTGTGTCCACAGCTGCAGGCTTCCCCGGCCACTGTCCCCTCTCCTGTCACCAAGTCCCTGAGGCCATCTGTGCCACTGGGGAGAGTGGAAGGGATGGAGGGAAGGACAGGCTACAGGCTGTCCCAAGCTTGGGCTGGAAAAAAATATTATGGACTCTATTTGGTATGGGCATTTTCCCATTTCTTTAGTGGGTTGCTTTGTAATAATCAAAGTCTCCTGTGTTCATAAAAACTATTCTATGGTCATGGAGTTGACTCAAGTCAAAGGTCTAAGTGTGTCTCCTCCCAAAGGTAAACACTGTTAACCATGTGAATCCTTCCAGACCTGTTTCTGTGATTCCACAAACACCCTACACCCACATCAGCGCAGACTCCATTTGTAAATGCATTTCAGCATTCCTGATGAGCCATGAATGTGTGGACTTGGTTCTTTTGAAGTACTTGTAACATCTTACTGGTCCCCTCATTAATTTATGGGCAAAATAAAAGTATCCTTTAAGACCCAAACTCATCCTCAGAATCAACAGTCAGTGATAATCTAATGTTGAAATATGCAATTTTTGTACAACAAAGGACACTAACCGTTAAATAAAAGAAACAGCCCTTTGTCCCAACAGGCGGAAATGTGAGTCAACACCGACTGAGGGACACACAGCATTCAGCCTGCAGCGCGGGGCCTCCCTAAGGGCTTTTCACCACTAATTCTGACCACTGTCTTATTTCTGCCCGGCGCTGGTCAGAGTGGCTCAGCACCAGGAAACAAGGAGAAGAAAACTGATATTTTCTGCTAAACAGACATGACCAGCAAAGCTCCGGCCAAGGCTGTTGGTTAGCACTTTTCAACAGCACAGCCAGGGCACCTTTCTGAGTGCTCTGAAGACCCAGGTGCACACTGTGGGGAGGAGAGGACGGCCTTCAGCGGGTGGGCTGAGCGCTCCTCTCAGGAGCAGGGACAGAGGAAGCAGAGGGCCAGGTGGGGGAGGCTGGTGGGGCAGGAGTCCCCCCCCATGGAGGGCTGAGGAAGTGCCCGGGGGCTGCAGGGTTCTTCCCCTTCCAGGGGTCCCCAAGGCTCAGCAGCCGGCAGTCCTGCCAGGACCCAGGAGTGGGACAGGACAGGGCAAAGACACAGAGAGCAGGCCTTGAAGTAGCCACAGGGAGTCCTGTCTGGGGAATCCCAGGATGTCACCCCAGGGAGGGCCTTAGAGGGGATCCCCCAGATCCCCTTTCACAGGGGAGGAGGCTCCCAAGGGAGAGCTTCTCCTGGGTCCCAGGCCAAAGTGTCCCCTGCAGGGAGCCCCCCACCAGCCTCCCCCTTTCCCTGCCCCTCTCCCAGGAGCTGCCCCCTCCAGCGCTGCTGTCTGTCACCAGGACCTGAGAGGTTCCTGGACTCTCCACCTGCAGCTTACCTGCTGGGAAAGGGGACCAAGTTCTCAGAGGGCTCAGCAGGGCGGGGGCTCCCAGCTCACTGAGGGCCCCACCGCAGCCCAGCCAGACCCCCACCCACTGGGCAGGAGGGAAGCAGGCAAACAGGGGCTCAGCCCTCAGGCTGCAGGGAGGGTCCCCCAGGGGCTGGATGGGGAGCAGCAGCTGCGAGGAAGAGAAGAGCCAGAAAGAGGAGGAAGGCAGCAGGGGCTTCAGATCTGCACAGATACAAGCCCAGAGGAGAGAACAAAGCCAAGAGATGGTGTAGCTGTAAGCAAGGTGAGTTAAAAATACGTTTAAATAATATACAGTCTGACACTCAAACAAAATTTTGTGGATTTTTCTGACCTCTCTCACTTTCTTATATAATCTTCCACTCCTTGGGCATATGAAGAAAACTTTACATAATTTAGCATATTTCCCCAGTTACATAAAACTGAAGAGAAGAGGAGGCCCACACACCACTGTGACCCAGTCCCCAGGGCAAGGGGCCTCGTGCCTTGCAAAGCTCCTGGTCATTCAGGCCGTCCTGTGCCCCAAGCCCTCGGCCCCATTCCATTTCATAATGATGGAGGGCAGAGACAGGACACAAGCATCATGGTTAATTTCTAAAAAAGCTGAGATATAAATAGTATAGTAAGAACAGGAAGGACTCCATCTTAAAGCTAAGATTCCATTTTAAAACCAGGAAGTTAGGAAGTAAGATTCCTAACATATTCTTTAGCCAACAGACAATAACTAGACCCACTCTGGGCGCAGGGCAGGCTGTCTTGATTGGTATGTTCCCAGACGGAAGCTGCTATCTTGGGAAGGAACCAGATCAGTAAATTTCTTGTGTTAATTTTGCAGAATTACCTGAAGGACTGATAATAGAAGAGAAGAGATTTACAGTCTCTCACTGGAGATAAGCATTTTAAGAGCGCTCTACAAGTTTATACCCCCTGGCCCTTTGGAAAATCCTTAAAAGAGGGAACCCCCAACCTTTTAGGGCCTCCTCTCTGAGGGCACCCACACTTTTTCTCTCTTTAAGTGCATAACTTTAAATAAAGCTTTCTCACTGCTCAACTTTAACTGCATTTTGTCTCTCTCAGCTTTTCCACTGGTAATATCTTTGCATCTTTGCTATTTCATTCTATTTCCAAGCCTTCACTTAGTCTCCGCTTTACTCCTGTTAAGTAAGGAGAGGCTGTTGAGAGCTCAGTTGTGGGCCTGCATGTTCCCCTCACCTGGGTGACCAGGACAGAACGGTAGCTGCAGGAGCCTGCCTGAACACCTCCCTTCTTTGGGAAGTTCTCAGAATATAATCTCACTCCTCTCCATGCTCCGCAGCTCCCCAAATCCTGGGGTGGTAGGGGCTAGCCCCCATGCAGTGCAGATCCAAGCAGACACGGGGTGCCAAGTGACCCTGGCTTTAAGAGATGGCAAGGGAATCTGCCCTATACCAAGAAAATGTTCAGCGAACTTTCTCTCTTTCCCTCTGCACTTTCCTGTTATCAGCTGCCTACAAGGCCGCTGCCACTCATTTCTACTCTGGCTCTAATGAATTCTTTCCTTACCCACAAGCATCAGACCTGCTCGACAATTCTTTCTCATTCTGAGTCAAGAACCCTCCCCTGTCCAAGTTAGGGTGTCACCTGGTGCACAGGGAGAGACATCCCAGACGCAGCTGCCCACAGGGGCGGGTGCACGAACACCACCATCCCCCAGTGAGGCTGTCCAGCTTCCCCAGAACCCATGATTTATGGGCCTTATTATTTTGTTATACATGAGCATCATCTCAGATGAAGTCATGGATTGAAATTCGCCTTCCTTAGCGCAGCCTCTCTTTCCCTTGGTGCTCAACCCCCATCCCCTCCCCTCCCCTCCGCTCACCTCCCCAGGTCACCCTCTCCTGGGCCCCAGGAGGCAGTCCACCCCTTCCTTCCACTTTTCCCCATCTCTTACAACATGTGGGTGTACGGACACCCTTACCTTTTGGAGCTGCTGTTCCTTTTACACATTTAGAATGTCATTTTACTAGGATCCTGCATCTTGCCAAAAAACAGGGACTAGAGTTGCTACTCCAGCTGGGACACAGGTGCTCGGTGGGATCCTCCACACCACAGCTGCAGGGCTGTCAGGACCCTCCAAGCTCAGGCCAGGGGTTTCCGTTCCCACCCTCTGTCCTCGGACCCGGCTTCTTTGTCCCTCTCCATCCCTCCCCCCAGGAGGCTCCAGGCTCTCTGGCTTCCCTGGTATTGCTACAGAAACTGCCTCACCCGCCCCCCAGCAATGGTCCCCTTAATGCAGCCAACGATGCCCACATCAAGGGTTCCATGTGTCCACAGCCAAAGACCATTTTGTTCTTCTGGCCATCCTGGGGCTCTAAACCAAATACACTACATTTGCTAAATAATAAGAGTTGTCTTCTCTTTGTATTCACCAAAGACATCAGAGGGGCAAGGAGACCCTGCCTCCCAGCTCCCCCAACAGCCCTCCTCCCGGCATCCCGGGCCACTCACTGAGGAGGAGGCTGGTGCATCGCAGGAGCCAGGTGACCCAGCAGAGGCAGGGTTCTCCTGAGCAGGACCCCATGGCAGGCTGCCTGCACGTGAGCTCGGCTGCAGAGGATAAGGAGAAGATTCACCCGAATGAGCTCAGGCTCTCCCCACCCCAAGGCGGGGTGAAGCTCTGCAGTGACAGCAGCTGGCCAGTCTAGATAAGCCATTCGGTCCCTCATATTATTCCAGCGCCTGCAGGAGGACCTCAAGGAGCAGATTCAAAGTAAACATACAAACAACCTCCCTCTGTGATAGGCCTAGCACTGTGCCAGGGAGACCCCGCCTCTCTGGACACAACCAGCCTGGGGGA